TGAGAAACTATTGCTAGGGTATTTATATGATGCTATGTATAGTGCAAGAAAGATAATAAAGACTATCTTCAGAAATGTGAAGCGATTATACAAGCCATATACAACTATTATTAAGAGAAAGATGAGATTCTCAACTTAAGCAACCATCATCATTTTTAATATTATAAAGAGAATTATTGTCATAAGCTTGAAGTCATGCAAGATTTTATTGAGTTGATTAAGAATGAAGACATTTGTCCAAAGATTCAATTTATAATGAATGATGGTAGACTTTTTCAGGATGCCTTGGAAAGTTTGGAAAAACGATTGCTCTCATATGTAGTAATATTTATTGTTTTAAAATGAACATTCTGTAAGATGTCTCACTTTTTTTTTTGTAGATGAGTGGTGAAAGATCTTTGGATTAAGTGCACCAAACTTATAAAAATTAGTAATAAAAATTCTAAGTTAAACATCCTAGTTCTTAGGCTATCAAAGAAATTGGAGTGTTTTTGAACAAATTCACTCAAAAATGAGTAATCATTTAGAGCATCAATGGCTCAACGATTTAGTATATGTTTGATACAATCTCAATTTGAAGAATATGTATAATTTTTAAGTATATTAATATAGAATAATATTTTTTACATCATGTGACAATACACTAATTAAAATAATTCCTTCACTTTTAAGGTTTCTACATAAGAAAATAAATAATGATCTTCTGAACTATGCATGTGTAGAGTTGATTAATTTTTGGATTGTTGAAGATGAGCTTACTCTGAGATTGCCTTAGAAGATATAGAGAATGAGCTCTATAAAGAGGATGCAACTCCACCAATTGAAGAACAATATAAATATTTAACTCAACAAAAGAATAGTAAGTTGATAATTAAAACCCTAAAATTATTTGAATAAATTCAAAATTGAGGCCTTATTTTATGTTTTTTGTTTTTTAATGAATGTGATATTGATAATGAAGGGGATTGAGATGATATAATTGGGTTTGCTGCTATTGAAACAGTTGGAATAGAAGATTTGAGAGAAGCAGGACTTGGAGAGTCAATATTTAAGGCTGGTTTTTGTGATACAAAATTACATGATTTTTTATTAGCATCTTGAAAAATTATTTGAACTGTTAAACTCAGAAAGAGAAATATTGTTACTTGTTATCTTTATTTTTATATCATTAATATTTTTTTTTTTAATTTTTTCTTTATGTTTTTAGATAGAATAAAATGCATGTATATCTTTTCCTATAATTTTTTTTTCATATTTAATTCATTAATGAATCTTAATTATTTCTTTTAATTATAGAATTTTCCTTACAATTATATTTTTTTTCTTTTCTTTTTTAGAGTTTTTCCAATTAGAAGAAAAAAATGCAAGATGTCAAGAAATAAATTGGATTTAATCCTTCAAGTTATAACTATAAAGAGGTTAGTTGTTAACAAGATGAATGTATTTATTTTTAAAATTATTATATTTATTGGTTCTATATGTTTGAAGCTTCATATTATAATTCAGTTTTTTTTTTGTTATATTTGTGCAAATTAAAGGGTCATTACTATATAAATTATATATATTTTAATATAATTAGTATTTATTTAGTCATCTGGTCGGTTGAACTATCAAATTGTCAACCCCTTCTTTCGATTAGTTGTCCAATCTGAATTTCATGACCATGCTTTTAGCATATGACTTGCAAGTTGTAAGAGCTTTATAGCTTGCTTGAAATTAAAATTTTATTTTTAAAAGTTAATAACAATCAGAGTGGGGATGAAAATTCAAGTTCAGTTTTGCCATCAAATTTTCTTGAATATTTTTCATACATAAGATTTGAACCTAAAATTTTTTAGTTGATAGTCAAAACTCCCAACACATAAATTATGGTGAAAAGTAGCATTCAGAAGCTGACATTGTCAAGTAGTAAACTAAATATGGTTGGAATATTTTCTTAATGTAAAATAATTAGAATAGATACATAAGATTGGACCCAACGCATATGCATCATATCTCAAATATTAATATTTTTTTCTCAACATTATACTTAATAAAATATCAAGGTATGAAAAAAAAAAAAAAAAAACCAACAACAATAAAAATAACAAGCCTTTATTCTATATGAGGTTGGCTACTATGTCATAAAAAATCATCTTGATCTAGCTTGAATCTTGAGGCATATTCATGTTAGAAGCTTTCAAAATTAAATATGGGACCATTTAAACTCCAATTTCAACAAATTAATAGTCCAACTGAATGTCTCAATGAGAAAAACCCAACGACACCAAAATTGCTTTAATCCGAGCCGAAATGGGTCCAAATCGGGTGGCTGAAGCATATTTGGAAATCTCAAAGCATAAATTAGATGATCAAATGATATCCAAATATAGCATGCTTGCAGTCGGATCGAGCGGCTTGATAAGACGAATCCAACTAGCTTGAGAACACTTGATTCCAACATCATTATGGCACATAATTGCTTGATGAATGCTCTACAATCGAGGGAATTTATATGAGTCATTTTCATTGACCACTCCAATTTTATCTTAAATCTTCTCCATATTTAAGAAGCATGCCACCCTAAAAAATCTATAAATAGATACTCACTTCCCACATGAAGGGGGGCTAAGGGACTTGGACCTTTTGCTAGAGATTGGAGAAAGCTTTGGCGCTTTAAGGATCTAGAGCTCCACCAAAGCAGCAACATCGGCCAATTTCTGTCGACCGAAGCCAGACCACCACCTAGTCGTTGACCATCGTTAAACCACCGCTCGGCCACTGAACTGCTACTGGACTTCTGCATAACTATCATCAGATCACCACCCAACTGCCACCAACTGCTGAATTGCTGATCGTCGTTGGACCACCATTGCCAGACGACTACGGTCCCTCCAACCACAATCACCTGCTGTCTACGACCCAGCCGATAACCGTCAACATCAACTTCAGTCCCTCTGACCACCATCATTTGTCGACTACAGTTCCTCCAGCCACTGTTGTCTACCGACTTTAATCCCTCTGACTTCTATTTCCCACTAACTGAGATCATATGGTCTCTCTAACCTCCGTCATCCGCCGATTATAGTCCATATGACCATCGTCTCTTGCTGACAATGATCCCTCCAACTACTATTTCCCATTGATTACTGTTTGATCACCGTCGCCCATCAACTATGGTTCATTTGACCTCTGTCGCCCACCGACTACAGTCCCTTCGGCCATTATTTCCCACTCGCTACTGTCGGTCTAACCACCGTCGCCCGTCAACTACGATTCCTCTAACCTTTGTCACCTGCCGACTACAATCCATCCAACCTCTGTCACCTACCGAATACAATCCTCATGACCTCCATCACCCGTCGAATATGGTCGCTCCGACCATCGTTGCTCGTCGACTACGGTCCCTTCGACCATCGTCATCCACCGATTACGATCCATTTGACCTCTGTCGCAGATCGACTACGGTCCCTCTAACCTTTGTTGTTCTGCCCACCAAATGAATATGCTCACACTCTCTTGAGAATAAACTCTCATATCACTAGATTCTTCCAACATCAAATATATAATGTGTTTTATATGATACATTAAGCCAAGGCCTTCCCTCCGAAGAAGGGTATCATTTGTAATCGACTGTAAACGCTAGTGGAATCATTTTAAATGGGTCAGGGCTTGTGATTTTTCCCCTTTTCAAGGTTTTTATTATAAAATCTCGGTATCCCTTATGACTCTTGCACCTATCTCTCTTTATTCTGTATGTGTGCTGGATTTTCATTTAAAATTAAGACATTAAGCTCTTTATCTCTCCACCGTCTCTTATTTTACAGTCAGCAACAAGTCATTTTCTTCTATTGTGTCTTACTAAGAGGCAATTTCACATTTAAATCTAAAAAAAGTTTATTTTAATACTTTTTTTAATCAATTCTTTTTGTCTACCTCTTAACTTTTTTAACATATGTCGAACTTAATGCATCTACTATTTTAACAAGGTCATCAAAATGGAAATATTTTAGGAATAAATTAGTTAGGGTGTCAAAACTGATTGACGGGTCAAGTTCGGGTCTGACCTAAAATTCATTTCAATCAACTTGAACCTAACGTGTTTAATAAGCATATCAAAAAGATCAAACCAAATCTGACCTATTAACTTGTTTTGATTAAAAATTACTATATCTTATTAACTATAAAATTTAAGATATTTGATAAAATATAAAAAAATTATATCAACATGTAAAAAAATTAAGAAACGAAAATTAAATGTGTTATTTTTAAGTCAAAAGGAAGTTCATAAGTCAACTTAAATCTAACCAATAATTAAAAAATTCAACTCAAATTTGATCTATTTATTAAACGGAAAAACTTGAATTTGAATTTTTTTTATCAGTGAGTTTATGAAGTTGTAAAAAAAACCAATTAAGTAAAAAAAAAAATGCAACAAAATAGTGAGAGGGTAGTTTGGTCCTTAAAAATGGATGTTACTCATACATCCAGCCTGGAAGGTATTTTCGTCCATATAAGAACTGGTTCTGACGCGGTATTGAACTAGGATGGTTTTCCGTCCAGGTTAAGAGACGGCCCGCGTTCTAGCTGTGGTAGTTGGTACTGAAAGCTCTGTTTTGACCCGTGCGGCAGATCTAGTGCTAATGCGGCTGCCAACTCATACGCTGAATCTAGACGCATCGCCGGCCACATGCCTCCCATTAATCTAGATCGTCACGTGCTCCTTGTACGCTTCACTTAAACGCATTAAAAATTTAAATATTTAAAATAATATATATATATATATATATATATATAAAAATTTTCTATATTTATGAGACATATTGTTGCAAAAAATCTATAAATAATTTCATACTCTCAACATAAAAGGGGACCTTGATATTGGTTATTGGACTTTAGCTCGATACAAGAAAGCTTAGGGCTACTCAGTGCCAGGGCTACAACGGTAATTTCAGTCATGGGTTGTTGACGAGAAATGTATGCTTCATACATCGGACCGTTCCTGGCCTCTATTTCGGCGCTCCGATATAAAAGCCACTTCTCGGTTCGCTCGTCTCGTAGACTTCTCGCCTTTGTCATCCTTCTCCTTCCGTCTAACACGCCGCCGTGTCCTCTGAGGCTTCGGTTTTCTTTTTATCTGCTGATTCGAGGGCTTTTAGGGCTCGGATTGGTCGCAGGGGAGGAAGAAGAAGCTTCCATAGCGCGGAGATTAGAATTTATCTTAGCGTTAGGGACAAGTTAGGTAATAAACACCATCCATTGCTCTTCTGTTTCTCATGTATGCATCAAAATTAACTTTTCATGTTATCCCTGATCGGTTTGTTTTGAAGTAATCGTAATCTTCTCTGATTTTGAATACTGCTTAATGGAGGGTGTTTTTTTTTTCAATTTTTATTTCGTTTTTTATTACCAAATTTAGGAATATGTGGTGATTTTTCCTTGGAACATGGTCTTTTTGGGGGAAATTTGTTAATTTTTGGATCTATTGTAAACGATGAGGACGAATATGATTTGCTGGACCAATTTGAAATTAGCGAGGTTCTAATGGCATGGCCATTTGTTGAAGGGTTATCTAATAGATTAATTAAACTTGAAGTATATTACCTTTTTGATTTTTCTTAGCTTTGCTAACGAGTGCCCATTAAGCAGGAATCATCCAACTATTCATAGAATTCGATGATGCTTAATTAAAATATTAATATCTTTTTGTTGACTTTCCTTATGATTTATGATGAATTTTGTTCTCCAAGTTGTTTTTTGCGCTCGTCTTGTTGTAAATATTTACATTTAGTCGTAAATTAAGCTCCACCTCTCAAATTCCACAAGAAATTACCTTTGTAAAGCTGCATTATAGCTTTAGTCAGCTATGGTTATTGCTCAGTCCAATCTTTAGTGCCTTCTTTTGTCATATTTTTAATGTCTGAATTACTGATTATATGTGTTCATGCTTGTTCTTTTCCTCTCTCTTTTTTCCCTTAACTAATAATATGAAACATTGCTTATTATCTCTTAATATTTTTCTGCAGAGAAAGAACATAAAATATGGTTTTGTGGGTTTTTGGTTATGGATCGTTGGTTTGGAATCCTGGTTTCAATTTTGATGAGAAGGTTATAGGCTTCATCAAGGACTACAAACGTGTATTTGATCTTGGTAAGCAATTTTTTTAGAAAGTCATCTCCCGTATTAGCATGCAGTGATTGTAAGAAACTAATGGAAACTTTTTTGTCGGCCAGCATGCATAGACCATAGAGGTACACCAGAGCATCCAGCAAGAACCTGCACATTGGAGTATAAGGAAGGAGCAGTTTGTGTAAGAAGATCCTAATCCTTTTTTGCATTTCATATCCAAGTGTTTTGCTTTAGTTTCCTACTTATTTGCTTGCTATAATTGTTTATCCAACACCAAAAATTCAAGTTCTTAAGAGACACATTTGTCAATTTGTCTCAAAAATTTTGTTTTATTTGCATCAACTGCTGTGGATAATGCCTTTATTGGCTTCTGGCTAGTTATACGTATTTATAAAGTTTGTTTAATTTCAATTATACTTCGAATTGTTGATTATTTAGAGATAAAAATGCCCCAAACAAGTCCGAGTGGTCACATCTCTTTTCTTTTGGAATTAACTGCAATGTATTGCTTGGAGTTCGGTGCTATTTTTGGTGAATTTCTTTTGTCTTTCAGATTTAGCAACAGAATTATTAAAATGAATTAGTTCTTGGCATGTATTAACTTTCCAATGGGATGAAATGTAGCTTATTAGTAATCCTTCCACTAGCTATGTACATACGTGTGAGGATCAGTGGAAATGAAGCTCTCATGTGAATTAAACATAGGTTTAATACACCCACCTGCCCTGAACAGCCTACTTGAACCCCATACCTACCCCATTACAAGAAATTATTGTTTTCCCAATTTTCTTGTGTAACAAGTTGTTGCTTACTTGACAGTGGGGTGTTGCGTATTGTGTCAAAGGTGGGATTGAGAAAGAAAGAGAAGCAATGGAGGTAAGGCGCATGTGATACTTGTTATGGTGATCTTTTGCATGATTTAACTTAGAATTAATCTTATATTAGGCATAATTCTAATGAAAGTCTCTTGCGTTATGTATATTCCAGTATCTAGAGAGGAGGGAGTGTGAGTATGACAAGAAAGCATCAGTCGACTTCTACAAGGTTAGTTGAAGTTCATTTGTTGCCTCTTTCACAAAAGCTCTTGAGATCTTTATTTTTCTATTGATACCTTCCCTCTACTCTTCTGACTCCTATATGTATTATCGTCTGATTCAGGAAGGAGATGATCTTCAACCAGCTGTGAAGGGTGTAACATTGTAAGAAGCCATACGTTTCCTTGTATACTGAATATTGAATATTTTCATTTTGAACTTTATCGATTAGGAATTATGTCATCGTATAAAAAATTTTCCGATTTTTTATCTTAAACTGATATTTAGTTACTGTCTGTACAGATTTATTTCCACTCCGGATAAAATAGCCAATAGATATTACCTAGGCCCAGCTCCTTTGAAGGATATGGCAAGGTGAACCAAAATGTCTTATTTTTCATCTAATATTTATCGTTAATCTTTTCCTTTTGAGCTTATTTTGGTTGCTTCGTCCATTTTTCAGGACAATTGCTACTGCAAATGGTCCTTGTGGGAACAATAGGGACTACCTGTTTTCTTTAGAGAAGGCTATGTTTCACATAGGTGAGAACTTTATCATAATTCTAAGCCCTGAGAATTATGTTTTCCATTCCTCTCTTACCCCAAAATTTTGTTTAGTATGGTAAGTAGATTCACAAAATGCTTCTTTTGCAAAATTTGATTGTTATCAGCTCTTTGATTTTGTCTTTACTCAAACGATGGTAAGATTAAAAGGTGAAATTTCAGTGAAACTGACTTTCCAAATAATTTTATTTTCTTTCAGATAAATTCATTCATTCCTTATAGTGTTATCATATCATGTTCAATTCATGTCATCAAGACTATACTAGTTTAGATTGTTAAGAAAATTAGATTTTTCTAACTTAAATCTTGCAATTCCTAATGATTTATATTGCACTACATGTAAAATTTAACATCGAACTTTGTTTCTACCTCAATTTATACTCCTGCTGACTTGTTAGTAAGGAATTTTCTTATCAATATCAAACATGAATGAATGGAGTAATCGATAGGCAATGGTTAGTTGTTCATTTTCCTTGTAACTTTTAATTTCTCTATTCTCTTATTGAATTCTAAACAAATGATGGGAATGGATACAGGACACAAAGATGATTACGTGATCAAACTAGCAAATGAGGTAAGGAGAGTCCTCGGAGTTTTGAAGGACAAGAAGGCAATTGGAACTCGTTTAGCCATGATAAAGCCCAAGCTTCCACTCATTCAGCTAGTCCCCCTCCAGGAGGCAGCCGTCATGGATTCCAGATAATACCTACAGATCTCTTTTACATCTCTCTGGAAAAATCTCTACAGATCTCCTTCACACCACACTTTGTAAAACGAAGGATATAGTTCCTTTGTTAAAGAACTTAACATGCTGGTTATAATGTATTTTTCTTTTCAATTCTTAACTAATTCTTTTAGTTTATCCTAGCATAGCAGTGCTTATGTAATGTAAAACCAATCAGGCAGTAACTGTTCTTTTGGAGAAATGGAGAAGTGAATAAAGTTATCTTTTTGCCGATGATACGATCCTCTTTTAATTGTTTGTGATTGCACCTTCCTCTTACACAGTTCTTGTTGTTTGTAGATGAACAAAAAAAATATATTTTTTTTAATGATGGATTTTTTATCTAATGTTTTAGGCTTACGATTGCATGCTAAAATATGTAAAAAATAAAATCTTGACCTCTTAAAAAGTGTTTTCAATTTTCAAAAGAGTTCAGGCTTTAAGGTCCATGTATCTGAAAGGCATCTAAATAAAAACATCGAGTTGACGAGGTTGGGTAGAGCATCAGGAAAAATAGTGTCTTTTGAGAAGCAAATCATGCACTCTTATAAGAGTTCACTCTCAAGTTTGCATGTTAAAACGCAACTTATATTTAAGTGCTTTTAAGGTTTCATTTGATATAGATTTGTTTACTAAGTAGTTTTTTAGTAAAAAAATTTTGAAATTATAAATTTTTATACTACTAAAAAATTGCGGTAGAAAGCAATAAAAAAGCTAAATTTTTCAAAAACCTCAAAGCTAAAAATTTGTTCAACCATTGAAGAGCAGATCCTCACTATCTTAAATCCATACCTCTTTGAAGATTAGAGAAAAATAAACGTTCTTCATATCAAGAAAATTTAAGCTTTTCATTTTTTAAGATAAAAATTAAGCTTATCATTTTTTTTACAACTCCATATTATTTACAAAATAAGTAAAAAGAAATAAGAAATATAAATTTTTATTTCAAGGCCTTATAATATATTTGCAAGATCATTAATAATAGTTGTATAATCTAGATTTTTTATTTAAGGATGTTTTTTTATTAGATTTGACTTCTATTTTGCCAAAAAGGCTTTAGATCCGCAATTGCAAATCATTTACATGCCTTTTAAATACCATCTAAGAAGTTAATATTCAAATTTTATTTTTTTAAAACTAAATTTAATTTGGTTAAAAATAAGAAGATTTGTTATAAAAATTGGTTTAATTGTAAAAATTCATATAATTGGGAAAGATATAAAGAGCCTCGTAAGGATTTTAAAAAAGCAATATGTGATGCAAATATCTTAGCTTTTAATGATTTATATAATATATTAGATACTAAGGAGGGAGA